GTTGAGTTTGTAGGTGTTCAGAATGGTTTGATCCCTATTCAGCTGAATTCCTGAGACCAGACGAAATCCAGGTCTCCTACTCCTCCGCCATCTTCCTCCCGAAACTCTTATTCTTTACTATCAAGTATATGACTTGATATCTCAATGTATCCCTACTTTTAGCACCTGGATGAGGGTCCAAATCTTTGTTTCAAATGTGCTTTTCATATATCACCCACATATAGAATCTAAGTACACCAAAGGAAATTCAGACTGTGGCTTTAAGGGTGACCACAACTGCCTGGTGATAAAAATAAGCTATTTCTAAGAGGAAGACTCCTTCAAATGGGTCTTTCTGAGGGGAAATAATGGTAATCTTTCAGTACATATATATTTTAAGTGCTCCTATGGACAAATGTTTAGTATCAGAGCAGAGGACTGCTTCTTTCATTAAAATGAACTCAGAGAAAAGTGGTTGATATAGGTGACATGTTTTTTAGTAAAAAGTAATGATAAGAAATTGGAGGTCTTAGGTAAGTTGATGGGAATTCCAAGGCTCCCCTCATGGATGTTCTGAATGATGATGACTCCAAGGACTGAGAGAAAGTAATAAATCATGGGAAGAGGTGAGAGGAAGTACTGTAACTTAGGCCAACACACACTGGACATCACTCTCAGTGATCCGATACAAATAAAATCACACTATGTTTTCAAAATAAAGAGTGTAATATAATATATAGCAAAGAGCTACAAAACATTAGGTATGTTCTGGTATTTTTTTAAAAAAGAAACATAAACATAGCTGAATTTAAGTCACCTATTCTTCAATAGAGACCACAGTCCTTACTACCAGAAAATAAAATTTTTTTAATCAATACATCTGCTTATTTTATTTATTTAAACAGTGGTAGAAATGAAGATGGTCTAAATTCAACCCCTGTTAAAAGTCAGAAAGGAATGAAAAAAAAATTTAATAAGTCATCCACAGAGGCCCACTTAATCACCATAAAATTGTAGGAATGAATGTAAATAATTACATGAAAATTATGATCACTCACCTTATTTAGGTACAGAAAGCGACAAAGAGAAACTGAACTACACAGTTTACTTGCTGAGTAAAAGAATGAAGAGTTTGAGGGGATTCTATAGATTCTTATTATAATAATTTTATGGATGAACATTTTTATTTCAGAAATGAACTAACTCATATTATAGCCTAAATGTGTAATCAATGCCTCAGAATGGGATATTAAAGGTATAGTCAGGGTGAACTTCAATTTACAACCCTATACAAGATGTGGGGAGGTTGGCTTTATCAGTCAGAATCCAATCAGGAGACAAAAATCCACCAATAGTTTGAAAAAGAAAAAGTTAATATAAAGAATTATTAATTGATAAAAAAAGGCATTAACTACTGAAAGAGGGAAACAGGGAGTAGTTCAGTGGTACAGAAGTAGCACCTATGAAGACAGTTATTGCCTATGGAGCTGAGAGAGAATGAACAAAGCAGGCATGCATAAATTTAGGAAAATTCCCCTCCCCCCACAACCACCAAGTCTAAGAGTCAGACATCTTTGGAGAGGTTGTGGCTACCACAGGAACTCTGGTGGAGACAGAAAGACTTGCTAGAGTATACAGACCCCAGAGGGAATATATTACAGGCAGTCCTCTGATGTGGTCCCCCAGAGGGCAAAGGATCTTACCAAAAGTTATAGGCTATAAGTAAACCATAGAGTGAATACTACCAAGATCCCTGGGCATCAATCTGCTAAGTGCCACATGAAAAACAGCACTCTGGAAAATGCAACAAAGCCCCTGCTGTCCTGGCTCTGTAGTATCCTCCCGATCTTTTAACTTGACAAAGCCTAACATCAAGCGAACTTGCAAAGGAGACCTGTCTGTAGGATCCACCTCCGGTAAGTGTTTATGCTTACAGTCACAAACAATAATTTCTTGGTTCTTATTTCTAAATTGGGTTAATCATTATATCATTCTGATTTCAAACTATTCACTAAGAAATCATACTGGTGGGATTGTTTACTAATTTAACTTTTTTTGAACTATAGATAAAGTATGTAAATTTTAAGTATGCAACTCAACATGTTTCTTACAAGTACATGCACTCATGTAGCCACCACCCAAGACAAGACCCAAGTCCATAACTAGCACTCTGGAAGGCTCATTCTTGCTCTTGCTAAGTGGTGATCATTTACATTTTAAGTGTTCCCTTAAAAACCTTTACTCGATTTTTTACATGTTTAGTATAACTAATAGGAAAGACAAACAAAAATAATGCGTCCTTTTGTATTGGAGACTAAGCGTGCCAGAAGCTACTTTTAATTTAAGACCTATTTCATTGTGTCATTTTACATTTCTTTCTAACGATGTCAAGGCACTTTATAGAAGTTATTGTGCTCCTCTTCTTTTTCTGTAAGTTGACAATAATTAGCAATTGATTTCTCATTATTCCAGAGGAAAAGGGAATGAAATTTAGATAACATAAGAGACTCAAATATCCCTCTGTTCTTTTGTACAGGAATAGAAATCGAATTCAAGTTTTTGAGAATTAACTCTTTTCCATACTCTTCATGTGAGAAAATTCTGCATTTATACAAACCAAATAACAACAACAAAACAACAACAAAAACCCTAAAAGTAATTTGGACTACTAAAGAAATAGTTTATATACATGTAAAAATAAAAAGTATATATTGTTTCTTCAAAACTCATAGCATTTAACATATCAACAAATGTGGAATGGATTTTTAGTTTATTATTTTATTACAAGTAGTGAAAGGAAAGTAACACATTAAGTAGGAAAAGAGGGATTTTTCTTACATTTTAGGTCAACATTAGAATTTTAGAAGTCTTCAAACTTCTCAGTTAAATAAATTTGACTAATTATTCAGTATGACCTCAGCAACCTCAGAGCCTGAAGAAATTTGATATAAGTTTTTCTTACTCCTGTGTACTTCTAGGTTTCTAAAAATCCATTTTAATATTTTACATTATTATCACATAAAATTTAGAAGTCAGCTATCATATTGAAGGTTGATACATTCAACTACTAATTTATTTTTTTCCTATGAGCTTTGCCTCACAAGTCAAAAGTCCTTAAATTTAGATTAGACTTCATAGCTTGAAGGTGGTGAGTATTTTTCCAGAAGGTTTTCAGATTTTTTTTAATGCCTGCCTCCACTGGATTTGGCTCAAAATTTTCCAATGGGAAGCATACTTTAAACAGCCTTGATTCCATGTATTTAATACGTTATTTTACTTTATTGCTCTTCCCTAACTGAGAGCACTTAACAATACACATATTTTTAAAAGTTTTATATTTGGTAATATTTTGTTGGTTCTTTGTTTCCTGTTATAATGGGCTTTTAAAGATTAAGCGAATTTGCAGATTTCCCACACAAACACATCTGTACAGGACAGTGTGATATTAGAAGGCTCCTGAAATTAAGTAATACAACGTAAATGCTTTCTGCATTACCCATTTGTTGTATAGAAAATGAGGAAGCTTGCCAATGGGTTTATTTTAAGGAGAAAACTACTATTTTGAAATAAAATGCAAAGTTTACTACATGACCTTATTTTATTCCTAGTCATGTTCAATTTGGGAGTATCCTCTTGCATTTATATTCAAGGAAATGAGGTCAGGGGCTGACCTATTATTTTCCAAGACAAAGGTTATCACACACAAAATAAACTTTTTCTAGTTAATATATTCCCTTCAAGTTGTTTTAATGAATTAACATTCTTTATAGTTTGATTATATGTACATGTTTAAAATACTTAACAAAAATAATGCTGCATTTAAAATTTCGCTGCCTTAAGCATAATGTTTGCCTATGTTGCTCCCATTTCCTTCATCCTCTTTTGGGAAGGATGTTTGGTCACCATACTCCTACACACATTGCTCGGTTATTCACCCCGCTCTCAGGTCTCCTTGCCATCTCCCATCTAGTTTTTATTATTATTCCAGATTTCTTCCTCTTCCTTCCTTCCTCCCCACCCACTCAACCCAACCACCCACTGAAATGCTCAGTTCTACTCTTCAGTAGGTTTTCAAAATTAGTACTTTCCCCCATTTCCCTTCAGAAATGCTTTTGCATGCCTTCTTCCTCCTTAGAGACCACTTGCTCACCTCACCTTTACAATCATTCTCCAATCTCTACTTAGCCTTACAGAGGTTTAGATTGTTTCCTGTTCCTCCATTTCCCTTTTCATAACAAAACATTCCTTTGGACCGTACAGCTACCAGTCCCAAAAAGCAGACTCAGTGAACCAGTGCAGTAAGAGGGCTTTATATTAGATGAGAAATTTTGCAAAACTATGGTAATACTGAAATGCATTATGGTTAGTGCCTAGATGATTACATTTTCATTTGCAATGTGGACTTACTGCCAAGAACCTGAATTAAGCTTATGTGTGACAGCACACATTACCTAGGATTCCAGAGCTCTTCTGAATGACCATTGATAACTGTGATGCGAAGTCATATTATGTGCAAGAGTCTGTAGACTCTACCAAGCATGTCATAATAAGAAAAATGGGAGGCAGTGTATTAAAGAGTAATGCCACAGTCATCACTTTCTCAACTTTTTTACAAGTTAGATACAGGAGGTGTGAAAAATGTATCTCTAATAATTTCACTTTTTTTCAAAAATGACTAGATTGTTTCCATTTAAATTTCAAATGAAACTTTCATCATTAATCTTTATAGGCTATAAAATAAGCCATGTTATTCATTTATTCATTCATTCAATATTTACTGAATACCTACTATGAGCAAAACACAATTCAACATAAATTATCAATAAAATCTTGATTTGCAACTTACCATGGGCCATGCGATGGAACCAGTAGTAGCCAAAATCAACTCCTAAGAAAGTTAAATACCAAGTCCATGGAGAATGCCAAGGCAAACTGATGAGCCTGTAGTTCTCCCAGATATAAACGTAAGTGGTCAGTTCGATGCTCCTAGAAAACAAGCTGGAAAAATAAAATTCACAGACAATGATTATACCACATTTTAAGTGTAAAATTATACTAAAACATTTTAGGTAACATTTAAAAATTAGGGTATTCATATCTAAAAATAAAATTCTTTCTCTCTTCTTTTTTTCTCACTGTTCTATCCTACCTTTTAGAAGGCTCAATCTCACATGGTGCCTCATAGGTATCATGGATGCCAGCTATTTACACTCTCAATTTCATGGAATTTAGGATGCCATTCTTTTTTTTAATGTCTCTTAAAATACTTTCATGGAACCCATTCAACATAAATATGACAAAATTACAACTTACTTTCTGTGACTTTCCTTTACAAATCTTAATGAAGAGCACAATAAGGGTGCTTTATAAAGGAACTATAAAAAGTATAAAGTTTAAAGGGGACTGCAGAAATGCCTACTGCCTTAAAATATGTTAATCCCATAAAATTTGACTTTAGATTAAAGTTGCTTCTGGCTATTCTCTTTATTTCTCTCTATTCCCTCCTTCTCTCTTTGGCACACACACACATATACACATACTTTTATGTTTTTAGATGTTATAGTTAGCATCACAAATTGGATTCTCATAGCATTTCAATAATTCTTGTAGTAATATAAATTACAACTAAGATATAAGGGAATAATGTGTTCCTAGAAATAAAGTATAAAAACCTAGTTACCACAATAGGTATCACATTATACCAGAGTGTTATTTTTTTTTTTTAAACATCTTATTTGCTCACGTCAGAGGAGAGAGAGCACAAGCAGGGGGGAGCTGCAGGCAGAGGGAGAAGCAGACTCCCTCCTGAACAAAGAGCCCGATGTGGGACTCGATCCCAGGACCCTGGGATCATGACCTGAGCTGAAGGCAGATGCTTAACCAACTTAGCCACCGAGGCATCCCTCAGAGTGCTATGGTTGAGAAGATGAGAAACAATAGGTGTTGGTGAGTATGTGGAGAAAAGGGAACCTTCGTGTACTGTTGGCTGGAATGTAAATTGGCACAGCCGCTGTAAAAAACAGTATGGCAGTTCCTCAAAAAATTAAAAATAGAAATGCCATATGATCTAGTAAGTCCACTGTTGGGTACTCACCAAAGAAAATGAAAACACTAATTTGAAAACATATATGTATCCCTTTGTTTATTGCAGCTTTACTTTTCAATAGATGAGATATGGAAAAAACCCAAGTGTCCATCCGTAGATGAAAGGATAAACATAATGTGGTAAATAGGGGCACCTGAGTGACTCAGTTGGTTAAACGTCTGCCTTTGGCTCAGGTCATAATCCCAGGGTTCTGGAATTGAGCCCTGCATCGGGCTACCTGCTCAATGGTTAGTCTGCTTCTCTCTCTCCCTCTGCCCCTCCCCACCCCACTTGTGCTCTCTCTCTAGCTCTGCTCTCTCTCTCTCAAATAAATAAATAAAATCTTAAAAGAAAAGTTGTGGTAAATATATACAATGGAATATTACAGGACCATAAAAAGAATGAGATCTTGCCATTTGGGACAACCACAGATGGACCTAGAGAGGACAATGTTTAATGAAATAAATTAGATAGAGAAAGACAAATACTACATGATTCCACTTACATGTGGAATCTAAAAAACAAAATAAACAAAACTTTTAAAAAAGATTCATAAATACAGAGAACAAACTAGTGGTTGCCAGCAGCAGCAGTTGGGGGGATGGGTAAAATAGGTGAAGGGGATTGAGAGGTACAAACTTCTAGTTATAAAATAAATGTAAGGGATGAAAACTACAGCATAGGAAATATAGTCAATAATACTGTAATAACTGTGTATGGAGACAGATGGTAACTACAGTTATCATGGTGAGCACTGCATAATGTATAGAACTGCAGAATCACTATGTTATACAACTGAAACGAATATAAAACATTGTATGTCAACTAGACATCTATTTTAAAACAAATTTTTGGGGGGCACCTGGGTGGCTCAGTCGGTTAAGTATCTGCCTTCAGCTCAGGTCATGATCCCAGGGTCCTGGGATGGAGCCCCACACTGGGCTCCCTGCTCAGTGTAGTCTTCTTCTCCCTCTCCCTCTGCTTCTCACCCCTGCTCATGCTTTCTCTCTCATGCTCACTCTCTCTCTAATAAATTAAATCTTAAAAAATTTTTTTTTCAAAAACTAGTTAAAAGAAATAATTGTTTTTAAAACCCTGACACCAGAATATGCCTTGCCACCTATGCTACCAAGTTTCTATACATTATTATTTCAAGAACTTTCCAAAAAATACATCATATACTTCAATTTTATTAAGTGTAGCATTTTCTCTTGGAATTATCTGTAATCAAATTTAAGTTTAAACTAAAGATAATAATGCCTTCATCACTTCTATAAATTTGGTTGAATGGATGTTTTCTTTTATCTTTATCATTAATATGTAAAATAAATCAATCATTCTATTTAATAAAGATTCATTTATAAACCATGAACAAATGAAGAAATTGTTAAACATTCTAATTTTAAATAAAAGCTGAAGAAGCTCAAATTGGTATGTTATTAAAATTCACCATTTTAGTAGTATTTCCCTCTACACAGTGAGTATCTATGAATTAGCATGTAACTGAGTCTTTTGAAGATATGGGCCTTCAATTTTAATCTACTTTTAACCTTATGATATGACTGTAACTATGATTTAATAACATTAGAATTCTTTCATATGTTGAATGCTTCAAGTTATTAATCTGTAACATAAAACACTGTAACATAAATCACTTCACAACAGCATTAATACAAATAATGAATAGAAGTGTCAAATGCCTACATTTTTGAAAAGGACTACTCATTATCAGATCTTAAAACCCAATTTTCAATTTGATATTATTGTTGGTTCTTAAATTAGCCCCTCTATGTGGAGAGCAAGGAGAAACCAAAGAAAGTGGCACACCACTCCAGAATGGTGGGTGGTAGTTTTAATAAGCAAAGAAATTTACATAGAAGGCTTGTCTTGGGCAGCCTCAAGATAAGTAGATCTCTGTACCTGCCTGCTAGTCACATATTCAGTCCAGATGATCTCAACACCTTACTCGTTGAAGGCTTCATCCTTAAAACAGCTGCTAGTACGGGAATAGTAGCAGAATATACACTCCAAGGACAGCAGAAAGGTAAGGAGACTCTGATTGCCTGAGTCCTGTTCAAGGGTCACCCAGTGGATACATCCTGTCAATGATCTTCTCCAACAATTATTTGGCTAGAAAGAGCAGTTTTGTCCCTGAGTGTGAGTCTTGACCAAAGGAAACTGCCTATGCAGAATTCCTGTCACAACCCAGGCCATGCCCTGGATATTTCAGAATCCCTATCAAAATGGCTCTGGGCTGCTTGTAGGAACTGCATGGGCCTCTTTCTTGGTCCAGTCCTCCAGAGAGCCAACATACGCAGGTGTGTAAACTATTATACATGACAAGGTAATCCAGAGTTGCTGTTTTAGATATGCAGAAAGAACTAGGACAAGCATTCTGGGATGTTCACATACAAGAGTTTGGGGTCTGTCATGAGCTAGAACAGGCTATGGGCCAGGGGCTCCCACACTGTTCTGGAACTCTGAGGAATCCAAAAACTCAAAATGTAAAACTTGTCATCCAATTTGTTATCCATATGATTTATTATTGTGCTCATGGCAAATTATGCTCAGAGACTGTCTTTGCTAATAATTTATTTAAGGCAGGTTTACTGTGGGAATTATAATTTATAATAATAATATCTCACAAGCCAGTAGCATACAGGATCATGCCTCTTAGTAAGTCAGTAAAGAAATAAAAACTCCAAACCAGTGACAGATTAATTACACTATTGTTTTAGGTGAAGGGGAGATGGAAGAAATAAAGTCCAGATTTAGCGAACCCTTTCTATGGGTTGGTTCTTGGAAGAATTAGCTGAGCCAACCAAGAACTGATGTCTAGCTGCCAGCACAAATTGAAAGTCCCTGTTGCTAGAGCACAGGGCTGGCAGAACAAAGGCACCAGTGTTGGTGGGCAAGATGATTTCTTTCATGGGGCCGCTGCAGTTTCCACCACTGCCAGCAAAGAGTAGCCTTGCCATGGCAGGAGCTCATGTCCCACCGTCTTCAGCGAGCGATTTAAGTCAGCGAAGAGTAGCCTTGCGCAGGCTGAATGTTTGCTTTAAGTCCTCACAAATTCTTGATATTTAAGTTTAAATGTCCATTATATTTTATGTTTATATCGAAAACACTCAGGAGCACAGCAATTATGATGACATTGTCCTGACAAGGCTTCCTCAATGTAAAGGAATTTACTCTTAGATCAAAGCAACTTCACTTGAGCCTTAAAAAAGCAGATCTGCAATCATGACAAACTAATATACAACATTTATCAAGGTAGGGATAGAACAAATTTTATCCTAAAGCATGTTAACTTGGTTGGCAACTTTCACATATTTAGACAAGGGCTTCTTAACAGTGTCATTACAGACATTTATTCAAGATTGTGCTTTGTTGTTGGGGTCTGTTCCATGGAAACAGTTACTCAAATTATGAAATCTTAAAATTGATCCCTAGTATCCGTTAATAGAGGATTAACCATATAAAATTCAACTTTTAGACAAAAAAAATAGTGAATAATATCAATTTTGTTTGGCTCAATCTAACAATTTTTCTAAAATAGGGATTCTAAACTTTGGTATTATTCCCATTAGGGCCATATAATTCTTTGTTGTGAGGGCCTGTCCTGTGAATTGTAGAATGCCTAGCAGCATCTCTGGGTCTCTATTTTTTTAAAAGATTTATTTATTTATTTTAGAGAGAGAGAAAGAAAGGGAGGGAGAGCAGGGGAGGGGCAGATGGAAAGGGAGAGAGAGAATTCCAAGCAGACTCCTCACGGAACACGGAACCTGATGCAGGGCTCAATCCCACAACCTGAGATCATGACCTCAGCTGAAACCAAGAGTCAGATGCTTAACTGACTGAGCCACCCAGGTGCCCCCCTGGATCTCTATTTACTAGATACTGGGAGCACAGC